CAGCCTAAATATCAACAGATGACTGGATAAAGAAGAGGTGGTATATTTATACAATGGAATACTACTCAGTCATAAAAACCGACAACATAACGCCATTGGCAGCAACATGGATGCTCCTGGAGAATGTCATTCTAAGTGAAGTAAGCCAGAAAGAGAAAGAAAAACACCATATGAGGTCGCTCATATGTGCACTCTACAAAAAAAACCATAAATACAAAACAGAAACAGACTCATAGACATAGAATACAGACTTGTGGTTGCCAGGGCGGCGGGGTGTGGGAAGGGACAGACTGGGATTTCAAAATGTAGAATAAATAAACAAGATTATACTGTGTAGCATAGGGAAATATATACAGGATCTTGTGGTGGCTCACAGTGAAAGAGAATGTGACGATGAATGTATGTATGTTCATGTATAACTGAAAAATTGTGCTCTACACTGGAATTTGACACAACATTGTAAAATGACTATAACTCAATAAAAAAAGTTTTAAAAATATGCTGGATCCCTGCGTTCTTCATTCTTTGAATTGTTACAGGAAGTAGGCATTCCTCCCGTAACTGTGAAAAACAACTCTTTTTGGCAAAAAAGTAAAAGCATCCATCTGATTCAGGTGCTCGCTGGCCTGGCCCCCCCCCAGAGCACAGGCAGAAAGGCACTGAGCTGACTCAGTCACTAGGTTCGCCCCACGTGGAAGACTTGGGTATCTCATCCAAATGCCTGCTCTTGGCAGTAGATAAACCAGGATTTCTCAAAGTGGATTTCGCCTTCCACCAGCCACTGCAGGTACTTTTTCAACAAAGGTCCCTGTGGCCACACACATCTGAAGGAATGCTCCATGTGCTCTCTCACACTCCCCCAGTTTCCTGAGTGGGACAAGTGTATCGGCACAGCCAAGGCTCTGACAAGTCCTGCAGGATACAGAAAGCTGTTTCATCTTGTTTCCCAGTCATTCCACTGGGAAACTGTTTTTCACTCGTAAACATTTTCCTTCCAGGGATGTTTTTATTCTAATAAGAAAAATCTTATAAATCTCTCTCCAGATGAAATATCTGATGGAAGAATTCTCAAGCCTTAAGGCAGAGGTGAGAGAAGAGTTTTGAACAGTGGTGGGGTTTTCTTGGTCCAGCCGCCTCCCTTTAACTCAGTGACTCTCATCATTCTAAGCAGGCAACTGGACTGTTAAGTTCCTTCTGGCTGGGGGTTTGACAGCACTTCATGCAGGACTGAGCGTACAGCTGATGCTCAGTAAATGCTTACGGACTAATTCATTCTTTACTCCTTCCAGGGAACATATGTTATTTTCTACCCTCCTTGATCTTCACCCCCATGGGCAGAATGGGTCTCCTCCCAAGAAGAGGAAGGGACCTTCGGTTTGGATACATAGAACCCAAGGATGTCACACCATCTGTGAGTTCCCACAAGTAGGTGAGTCTCTTCCTCAGATGACAAGTCAGCCCCCAGCAGCCTCTCCCCCTCCCCCAGCAGTCCCTGCCTGCCCCTCCCCCAGCAGTCCTGCCTGCCCCTCCCCCAGCAGTCCCTGCCTGCCCCCTCCCCCAGCAGTCCCTGCCCCCTCCCCCAGCAGTCCTGCCTGCCCCTCCCCCAGCAGTCCCTGCCTGCCCCCTCCCTCAGCAGTCCCTGCCCCATCACAGGCCGAGCCAGGCCAAGCCTTACTGTGCTGTCCTGAAGGTACTGCTCCCAGATCCCGGCCGTCAGCCCGTGTCCAGCATCACAGGGCAAGTTTGGAGACACGATCATGTGATTGACCAGGGCTGACAGGTGGGTCCTCACAGTGGACAGGTGTCTGCAGTAGGCAAGCCCTGCCAGAGGAGGGAGTGAAAGTGTCACCGTCCACCATCTGACACCCCTCGCCTGGTCTCGTGGAGTCTCCAAAGGGCCGTCCTACTCACAATATGTAGTAACAGAACAGGCAAAAACCTGGACCTCAGGGAGCTCACACTTTCCCTGCCTATCCGGCTAGCTACGACCTGCACTGGTATTTCACAGGCCCATGCAGGATGTAGCAACACATTTCTAGAATCCCTGAAAATAGACACATATTTTATCTTCCCCCTCTAGGCTGTGAGGCGAAGGAAATAAAACCTGCCAATCAATACGGCAGAGTGGGAAAAAAACAGAGCATCTGCCATCAGGCAAGCCTGGGATTGAGTCCCAGCTCTGTCACTTATTAGCTGTGTGACCTTGGGCAAGTCACTTCCCCTCTCTGTGCCTCAGTTGCCTCATCTGTTACTTGGAAATCATCAGAGTACCTGTATCATGATTTTAGTTTTTAAGTTCTTGGGAAGGAATCGGGCCACCTTACTCTTCTGCGTCTGCCCACAGGAGAAGGGAAGTGACCTTTATTGAGCACAGATGGCAATGCTGGGAGCGAGGGGCCTTTTACATGCTTCCCATTCAATTCTGAAAACAAACCCTCTAGAGTGGGCACGTAGGATGCAACAGTGATTAAACCAAAGTCTTTCTAGCATGGAGCCCCATTGTTCACTGCCTCCTCTTAGGACCAAGTGAGAACATTTATCCTCTATCTGTCAATGAGGCAATTGAGGCTCAGAAAGGTTAATGTGACTTCGCCAAAACAAACATCTAGGAAACAGAGGCACAGAGCCAGGCTCCTTGCCCTGGTATTGCTGGCATGCATGCAGTAGACACTGAATAAACGTTCCCTGGAAAGCACATGGCAAATAAGGCCAATACGCACATCCATAGAAGGCTCTGGAAAGGATCTGGTACTTCATATTGTCACAGAGAAGCTTCAAGGGAGCCCTGGAGGTGGAGGAAGAGGAAGACACTTAGTATAGAGAAACACGTAGCCCACATTTGCTGGAGAGCAGCGTAACTCCTTATCTCTAGGGAACAGATTAAAACCAGACAGTCAAGTATCACTGCCCCTTCTTTTGCTATCAGCTTGGGAGTTAACTCCTCCCTAGCTCTGTCCCTGTGGTTTGGGTGCAGCTGATTCTACCCAGGGCATGACTCAGCTTGGACTCACAGCGATTGGGTCAGAGGGGGCTCACATGATCCAACCTGGGCCAATGAGAATCAGCCCTAGGACTTTTGTTGGAACTACCAGAAAACAGACACCCTTTTCTCTGCTTAAGTTCCTAAGCCAGTGGGATATAGGGCAGCAGCTTCTGAGATCCCTTTTTGTCGCTGCATAGGAAGGGCCTGCCTGAGAATGAAATCATCATAGAGACGGAGCCGAGTCGAGAGCTGAAGAAACAGAGATTCCTATTTGGGGCATCTGGATCCAGCCATGCCTGAAGCCACTGTGCCTCTGGATGTGTCAGTTCTGTCGAGATTTTCTTTTACACTTGAACTAGTTTGAAGGGCGTTTTCTGTCATCAGAAGAAAAGAGTTCTGAGTTCTAAAGTGACCCAACTGAACCGAAGTGGAGCCAGACTGGGAATCAGAGTCTGGTTGACTGCAGAGCAGATGGTGTCTCAGAGCCTCTCCTTGCATGGGAATTGGGGAGGGGGGCTGTTTTGGCTGAAAGAGGAGAGAGGAGTAAGGCCTCAGAATTACTGGGCAAAAGAGGATTGCTGAAGGGAGTGTGGTGCATTCTTGGAGAGAACAGAGTAGAGGAATATCTACTTATTTATTCTCAGAACATTCCAGGAGACACCCACAGGGAGAACCAGGGAGAATGGGAATGAGGCACAAATGGCTGAAGTCCTCCAGTTACGCACAGGGAGGCATTCAACATGAAAGTCACCCTCTTTGTGCCCCAGGCGTGCTCAGGTTACATGAGGACAGCATCACACTGACAGCTGTCCCACGGTGGCCTTGCTGTCTGCGAGGTGGCGGGTTTCCCATCACTCAAGTGTGTAAGCAGATGCCATGAGACGGGGTAGTGGTCAGACAGCATTTGCTATGGTCCCTGGCCCATCAGCCAACGAACCACG